TATGAGAATTGTCTAAATATCTAAATATCATAATATCCATACACCTACTTGCAGAAACGTTGTCATAGAAAGTAGGAGATTAAATTGTGTTTTAGTAAAAAGGAATAAATTAAAAACACAAAGGAAGATCACTGAGGCTGAACGCTTTCTTTTGCCTTGTTTTAATTTATTCCTTTTTACTAAATTCAAATGTTCTATTTTCTACGACAACGTTTCTGCAAGTAGGTGTATATTGTCCGGAACACGCGGGTTTGCTAGAATAATTCATTGTTGACATCGAGAAAATGTTCAGAACTACGGATAAGTCCGTCGCCAAAAAAAAATAAACAACAAAGACAAGGGAATAAGGGCATCGCGCGGAATCATGCACTTGATATTATGATATTTAGATATTTCAACAATTCTCATAATTTTTGCAAAAGGCTGTATAATAATGTAAAAGAAATATGAGTGAGAGTCTAACCTTAGTCTTGGTCATGACCATAAAGTATAAAACACCCATGCTGATTACCATCTAAAATCAATGCATTAATAAATAGTATATCAATAATATCCATAACAAGAGAAGAAATAACTAGAATTAAACTATTGTGAAGCATGGCAGTCAGAGACGGAAAATTTCAATTTCAATTCAATTTCAATTTCAATTTCAATTTTATTTACGAAAAAACAACATACAATTATTACAAAAAGTAAATCTTGGCCTGCAAATAGCTTTGCTAGTTTAGGCGGGCCAGATTAATAAATAAATAGATAAATTACATGTCAATTATTTACAATAACACTACTTGTCTAACATAACGAACAACTAAGATCAAAATGAGAAAGGTAAAGGTAAATTTAACAGAAATAACAAAGAATAGTATATTTTAAGATAAGGAAAAGAAAAGGGTGATAAATATATTGAACTCTAAGATATAAAGTGTTCAAGAGAAAGGCTACACAATAGTTCAATTCATAGATTTGAGTTTATCCAAACTGGAGGGTATGCTAAGGTATGTATTGAATCTTCTTTGTGAAGAAGTTTTAAAAGTATTTCATGAAAACAAACCTGGAAGATCAGCCAAGCAACAATCTGTGTGATTTCAGTCTTTTTAAAGAGGAAGAGTCCATACTTGATGCATATCAAAGCCTCCATAAGCATAATAGCACTAGACAAACAAATACACCTCAGTTATACTATTGGAAAAAAAAATCAAATGCAGACCTTAATTTTGTAGTACACATTTCTTTTTATAATCAAGTTCTCAAGAGCTCAAGGCAAAATGTTCAGTGCTAAATAATTTTTTTTCACTTCACTAAAAAAAGTGCTAAATAATAATTCAAGGAAACACAAAGTATCCGCTAGATTCAAGTTGCAATTGAGTGTGAGAGAAGCATAAAGCGAAGCCAGAGAAGTGGCGCTCCTAATGCGAATGAGCTCAAAACACTTAACAACAGAAACTTGACCCAGCTCAAAGATTGGAAAGACTTACATAAAAACCCAACATTGAGTACCAACTCTTTTGCTTCTTGTATCTGTTACATAGCTGTAGTACTGTCTGAAAACAATAATTATTATCATTACTTAAAATATGCACAATGATTCAATGATGGAAACAACAACAACAGCAAAAACAACAAGAGCAGCAACAGCATCTTATTACAACTTTTGATAACAATACAATAATAGCTGTGAGACATGACAAACTATTATTATCTATTATTAGTTATTATTTATTAATAATGTTTTTTACCTGAGTGTAGGTGCAACAATCAAGCTGATAAGGAATATTCTCAACCAGTTTAACCAGTGACGAGTAGGAATGAGAAGAATGTGTTTTAAGAAGAATGTATTCAGTTCAATAACCTATCAAATTAACATGAATAATTTGAATACACGCACTAAAAAATTAATAAACACAAATAAATCAAGCAGCTAATGTTGACTTAACTTGAGGATTGTCAAAATGTGAATCAAGCTAATGTTGACTTAACTTGAGGATTGTCAAAATATGAATCAAGTGAAAAAGCTAACAGGAAAGTGAGTGAGGGAGTGACAGATAATTCACAAATAGATCACTGAATACAGTCTTAGAAACCTAAACCTACCTGTGATGCAAATAGTAATACACATATAGATAAGTAGCGCATGTATGAACATTTAGGATCCATCCATCGGACATGGGTCCAGCTGAAAGATAACATTAGCATTCAATTGAATTCAMTTGAATRSAAATMATTTTGACAAGAAACATACCTAACAGGGGTAAATTGCATTACTGCTCTGTGAATTTTTCCAGTTGTTGAATGAATATCCCTGAAATAAAAGGAAATAAGCTTGTAACACTACATGGAAAAAAAAAAGTTGAGAGTTTTTGAATTCTGRCACCTTAAAATTGAATCTTACAGTATCTCTTTTTATAGAGCACAAAGAAATAAAGAAGATTAAGTTTTTGCTTTAAGTTTTTTTTACAAT